TCATGCTGCTTGAACATCATGTAGACGTCGACTGCCGGCATGAAGTATACCTGCCGCATCAGATAACAATTGTCATATTCTGGTGACATGCCTTCGTTAGTGATTACCGAGTGTAGACGTAGCGCCGCATCCAAGCGGTGCCCATGCTCTGCGCACAGCCTTTGCGCACTGGGCAGCAGGAATGCCATGCGAAAAGCACGCGATGAAGGTCCAAGGGCCGGAGTGCGGGATGTGGCGTATCAGTGCATGATGCGCTGTTTGGGGAAACCGGAGATAGAGGACGAGGTTAGGTGACATTGCGTGGGATGCAAAGATATCTCTGTGCTCTCATTCCGCAGGAGGGGCTGGACAATGTGAGACCGGACGCCAGACGACGTCCGAGAGTAGTCATAGAAGGGCAAGTGAGATGTCTCAAAAGACTGAAAGGCATGAAAGACAAAGAGAAACCTCGATGGAAGAGATGTAAAGATGTAAAGGTTGCTTGCCACATTTGAAATGTCGCTGTATGGAAGACGCAAGGTGAGACGGGAAGATCAATCCGTGCATAAGCCCGCTCCACCGTAGAAGCCCCGCTAGAAGCAAGAAGCAAAAAGAAGGGAGTTCGGCGACCATGGTGCATCGCCAAACCTGCCACTGCCATGATAGCAACATGTTTTGGTATGTTGGCGTTTGGTTCTCAGCAGCCGAAAATGCCTCACGCGCTGCAGCAGAGGCGGAGGAGGCGTCGCAGGATTCGAATTAAACGTTGCAAACCGGCGGGGCTGGTTTGTGGTGGCTTACCAAGTGCCTCGAGGCGTTTTGACTTTAACCTGGACAGGCAGGCAGTCACAACAGCATGATGCCGCCCCCGTGCGTTGATGCCAAGTAGCAACACATTGGCGGGAGAAGTGCGACTTCGCCTAGAACAGAAAGCATTCAGAGATGAGACAAGTGATGACGATGGCGGCAAGGTCGTCCTTGTGGGTATGGCAAGACAAAGCAAAGTGCTGGATGGACGATGTAGCTGACTCATTGAGGAAATGGTAATGGTAGCACGAATGCGGCGGACATGGCAGAAGATGAACTTGTGTTCATGCAGACGCAGTCAGAGGTAAGGCAAACCAGGCGTGGTTGTGGTTGGGATCAGTCAGACGGCCCGGGTCTATGGAGAAAGTGCAGAGGGCTGGAGATGCTATACGGTTCGTCTAGACGCGCTTGGGAGTATCTGTACCAATATGGACAGAGTAAGGAAGAAAGGATTGGGAGGGGAATGGGCGTACCTGCATGTGGTGGTTCGAGAAGTCGAGGTTAGATTGAAACACACCTGGAAAGCCCCTGCAGGTAGCAGGAATTGATATGAGCAACGGCAGTCAAGCGAAATGGTTCGGTAAGACGCGATTGAATTAGCCGTCTTACCGACGCGTTCTGATGGTTGAAGAAACGCGTTGGAGGTTCCCGCAGTCTGGCAGCGGCTAGAGGGCCCGTATTGCGGCGTGAGCTGACTGCAGTGGTTTGATGAGTGCTGGGATGGGGGATTTAATTCCTGTCTCTCCCCAGATACGAGACGGTATTGGAGAAGGAGGGGGGCTGACGCTAGCGATGCGCGGCGGAAGTGCGCGAGTGAGAAGGGAGAGACGGCTGCCGGGCTGCGGGAGCGGAATGACGGCTGGGGGACAATATGGAGCGTGGCAGCCAGTCGAGGGGCAGCGAGACGACACAGGCGGCGGTCCTCTGGGACGCTCTGCGACCAAGGGACGCTGCGACAGTCGTGCCACTGTTGGCGTGAATGTCTCGAGGCTTGGGCAGTGGGAGGGTCTGCAGAGGGAACGCGAGCACATGCCTCTCCGAGTCCGCTGCTAGGCCGTATCGCCGCTCGATAACGACAACGACGCGGCAGTGCACGGACGCCTCGAACTTCCAGAAGGCAGGCGCCACCCACCGTCCTCAGCGGCGGTCCAACTCTACCGGCGCCCATAGGGCAAATGCAGTTCGCTGCCTCGGCGCCGCTCGGGACTGCCAGCCTGAGCGTGCCAGAGCGAGCGCGAGTGACAGTGCGACGCGCCGCCATTTGAATGTTATGTTCGCATTACATACACAGCGTAGCTCGTTCTCTCTGGTAGTCGCATCGGCGTGTGCCGCTCGAATCCTCCCACTTTGGCACCATGATTCAGCGGGCCCACTCTCGCCGTCAATCACACCCTGCCCGCCTGTGAACCATTCCCATTCACGCCTGGCCAGCACTCCGTGACGGGGCCCTCTGCCCTACCTTCACCCACGCGGGCGGCAGGACCACAAAACCCCCCTCGCCCGCCGCACCACGTCGCCAGAAGCCCTCGAGTCGCCTGCATTGATATGTATCCGCGCCCGCAACCAACACGCCGTCTGCATTAAATCCAATAAGCTCTCGCGCTGGGCAGATAACCTCGCACACGGGCTAGCCCCAATTCTGCTCTGCTCCCCCGACGCCTCGCTGCTTAGGCCACTAACCAGCCCACCCGGCTCTCTGGGCCCTGTCATCTGCCATCCCTGTCGCCTCTCTGCGCCGTGAGCCTGCGCTCAAGAATAGGTCTAAGCCCACCACCCCAGACATCAGCACCGCACCCCGTCATCTTCCCACCGCGCCCATCGCACCTGGAAAAAGGAAAAGCACCCGCTGCCTATTCCAACCTCTGCACGGCTGCTGCACCACCAACCGCCCTCGCTGCACATCTGCAGTTTTCTTGCGCTCCTTGTCGCTGCCGGTCTCCCCGCCGCCGTTGCGCTCAACATGACCATAGAAGACGACATGTACGGGACGGAGAAGAGCTTTGGAAGGGGTTCGCAAAACTCAGACTACTATGGCGAGTCGTCGCGCTACAACGAGGGCATTGGGAGGAGGGTCATTGAGAGTTTTAAGAGGGATCCCAATTTTGTCATGACGCCAAAAGGAAGTCTGGGTGCCGATGGAAAGGTCTTCGATGTCGAAAGCGCCGCCGCCAACACCGCAAACTCACCACTCGCCCGGAGACTCAAGGGTCGCCATTTACAGATGATTGCCATCGGAGGTTCAATAGGTATGCTTTCCATGTCGTTGATATTCCGTCCTCTTTACTAATCCTTCGTAGGTACTGGTCTTTTCGTCGGCTCAGGGCAAGCGCTGGCCAACGGTGGTCCGGCATCACTTGTCATTGCCTACTGTCTGGTCGGTATCATGTTGTACTGCACAGTCCACGCACTTGGTGAGATGGCTGTCTTGTTCCCTGTAGCAGGTTCCTTCTCAGCATACTCAACACGCTTCCTGGATCCCGCCTGGGGCTTCGCCATGGGTTGGAACTACGCGCTGCAGTGGCTTGTTGTGTTACCGTTGGAGATCGTCGCTGCTACTTTTACCATCGAATTCTGGAATCATGGATCCGTCAACAATAATGCCTGGGTCGCAATCTTCCTGGTTCTTGTTGTCGTGATCAATCTTTTCGGGTATGTCGCTTCCATTTGCATCGATTCTATCATCATTTTCTAATAGTCCCTAGTGTCAAAGGATATGGTGAAGCTGAATTTGTCTTTGCCATCATCAAAATCACGGCTGTGATAGGATTCATCATTCTCGGTATTATCATCAACGTTGGTGGTGGTCCAGAAGGCGGCTATATTGGCGGCAGGTTCTGGCGTCAGCCAGGCGCTTTCAACAATGGCTTTAAGGGACTTTGCAGCGTCTTCGTCAACGCCGCCTTTGCCTTTTCCGGAACCGAGCTTGTTGGTCTCGCTGCTGCAGAAACCGCCAACCCCCGAAAGTCTCTCCCCACTGCCGTCAAGCAGGTCTTCTGGCGTATCTCCTTGTTCTACATTGTCTCCCTCACCATTGTCGGACTCCTTGTTCCTTACGACAACCCACAATTGCTTCAAACCAGCAACAGCGCCGATGCTGTCGCTTCACCTTTCGTCATTGCCATTAAGAATGCTGGTATCGAAGGTCTTCCCTCTGTCTTTAACGCAGTCATCATGATTGCCGTGCTCTCTGTCGGTAACTCTTCCATCTATGGCTCTTCCCGCACGTTGGCGGCTCTCGCGGAGCAACATCAAGCGCCTAGGATCTTCGCCTACATCGATCGCCAGGGTCGTCCTCTCGTCTCCATTGCTTTTGCTTCTTCGCTTGGTCTGCTCTCTTTCCTCGCTGGCGCTGATCGCCACCTTCAGGATCAGGCCTTCAACTGGCTCCTTGCTTTGTCTGCACTGTCAGCCGTCTTCACCTGGCTATCCATTTGCCTAGCGCACATCCGCTTCCGCCAGGGCTGGAAAGTGCAAGGCCACACACTTGATGAGCTTGCATTCCGCTCGCAACCCGGTGTCATCGGTTCCTGGGTCGGTCTCTTCCTTAACTGCTTGGTTCTTATCGCACAATTTTACGTCTCAGTTGCGCCATTCGATATGCACAAGATGTCAATCGCGGAACGCTTGCAGGGATTTTTCAGCGTCTACCTCGCCCTCCCAGTCACCCTGGCATTCTACTTCCCATACAAATTCTGGTTCCGCACGTCCATCGTTCGATCCCACAACATGGATCTCGTCACAGGAATCCGCGAGCTGAACCTCCAGGAGTTGATCGAGGAAGAGCGCGAAGAGCGAAAGAGGTGGCCTAGGTGGAAGAAGATCTACAAGTTCTTCTGCTGATTGGTCTCCAGTTGTGATTTTTGTCGTACTTGTAGCGTGCGCGCATCTTGTTACTTCGATTTTGGTGTCTTTTTGTGATACCAGGCGGCATGCCAACGAGCATTGCGCAGCCTTGCAATTCATTACTATTGTCCCTATGTACCTTATTAGATAGGCTTGAAGTGGTATTCATAATGAGGAGCGCAGCGTTGGACGTTGCTATGATAGCGATGGAGTGTAAATACGATATGAGAAAGGAAATGTAATAAAAAGATGAAACAACCCTGAATACCTCTTCCTCTAGTTGCCTGTGCTGTGAAGATCGATGAAGTCCATTTTCTGTCAATAGAAAGAATGATGCAAAAAAATGGCAAAAAAAGAGTGAATATCTGATAAGGTCTTGCCCGGAATCGAACCGGGGTTGCCGGAAGACACTGATGACAATATCAGAATCCGGAGTGATAACCGCTACACTACAAAACCGGATGGTATGACAATTTGGCTACATTTACAATATATATTCTTGTTAAAAAAACCGTCTCTTCACCCAGGCAGAGATCTGTGCGACTCAAGGTCAATGAATTCTCGTCAAGTGTAACGCATAGTGGGGCGTGAAACAGATTAAACTTTTGTGGAGCGGGGTAGCCCACTTTGGTCGCACAGGACCGAAAGGCGGTAAAGCACGACATCGGGTCCCGTCCCGTCTCGCTCCTCTGAATAGACTGTTACAGCCCCCCTTTTGGTAGCAAAGTCACAAGTCTCTATGAAATTATCCTTTCAATGTTATTTGCTGTTCTAAAGGATTATTAAATTTCGAACACAGCCTTTTCTGAAGCAATTGTGTTTCTCTTATAATTCAAATTTGTCACTCTTTGTGTTGGTCTGCGGTCATTCGCGCATACAAATTTCGGGGGTGTTCCATTATACAGCCAGGGGTGTCCAGATATACTTCTCCTCGAATGATTCTACGTCCCCTTGCTCAACAAAATCCAGAGCCTGTCCTCATCTGCGAGTTTAAGATTCCACACAGTTGTCTACTCATTGCTAACAGCCTGCACAATCGCGCCCTCTGCCCCTTGATCCAGTGCATCCAGCCTTGCCATATCCTCACCATCAAGCTCGAACCCAAACACATCGGCATTACTCGTAATCCTCGACGGTGTATCACTCTTCGGCAGTGGCACAAAGCCCTTCTGCAGACTCCAGCGCACAAGCACCTGGTTCGGGCCCACGCCGTGCTTCTTGCTGACGCTTAGTAGGGTCGCGTCGTTCGCTCTTTCGTTGCGTACGAGCGGGCAGTAGGCCTCGATTACGATGTTGTGCTTTTGGCAGTAGGCTACTGCGTCGCGCTGTTGGCACCAGGGGTGCAGCTTGGCATGTTAAGAATGTACACACTGCCTTGAGGAATGTGAGGGGAATGTAAACGAAACCTACCTCGATTTGGTTCACGGCTGGTGGCCATGTACTGCCAATTGATTTGATCTCCTCGATGTGCTGGATTCCGTAATTGCTCACTCCGATGTCTCGGACTTTGTTGTGCTCTTTTGCGAGCTCGAGCGCTTGCCACATGATCTTTCTAGGTCCTGGACCTGCGTTCGGACTATGGATTAGGAATAGGTCGACGTAGCCATCTGCGCCGTCTAGTCTCTTTACGCTGTCTGTGATCTTTTGGTAGGTGGACTCGACGTCCGAGGCTGCGTTCAGGATCTTGGTCGTGAGGTAGAGTTCTGAGCGTGGAACGTTGCTCTTCCTGCAAGCTTGGCCGACTTCAGTCTCGTTTTCGTAGTATTGCGCTGTGTCGATGTGGCGGTAGCGTCCTTCGAGAGCCTTGAGGCACGAGCTCATGCATGCTGATTGGGAGGACAGGTAGACGCCGAACCCAAGCTGTGGGATTTTGTGCTTGGAGTTGGTGAGGACAAGGCGGGTATTTGCAGTTGGAGCCATTGTGATGAGTTGAGCCTGAATTCCAAGCTTGTTGCAAATACATATCACGATTGGCTCTCTTCGAGTGATCGTGTCTTGGAGGTAAGTTGTGAGTGCTCTGATTAAAACCCACTATCGCTCCCTAGGTTTTTGTTTTAGTCGTGATGTCATGTAGTTTGAGGCCGAACATTGAAACCGTGGGGCGTGCTGGCCGCACATCTTGCAATAGCCATTGAGATAATATATCCATTCATCGTATCAGCAATCTTCACTTTGCATAGAGTCGTTCGTATCGAATTAAATGTAAGCACATGTGTTTTTCCGACAAATATGTGGCTAATCAGGGCAAACTCTAAGAGAGCTTCTACTCTAGTTGACCCTCCTCTAGAATAGCGCCTTGAATCCTTGCGAGGGAAGCTAGAACCTCCTTCGAGGCCCTTTTTTTTCTCTATCACTATACATCTCTCGTTTTCTTATGGGTTGGGCGAGTCATCTCAAAGCAAGCGCCGTGCCCCTGGCTATTCATCAACTATTTTAGCTCTCTTTATAAGTCAAACCCACACGAAGCACACAATGAAGGACAAATATCCGTGAATCCTCCTCTGTGCGCCTTATGTCACCAGCTGAAATTGGAAGTGAGGCTCTAGTACAACATAGATGCATCTTAAGCAAATAGCACGAGTACAATGATGGTGCTTTGGTCAGTCGCGGGCTTCGCATGACTGATCAATTCGTATGTCATTCTTGCCTATCATGTCGTTCGATGCCGACGTAGCATCTCCGGGAATTTTAGAGTTCATCAAGGTATGTTGATTTCATTAGCTAACCTGCGCAGGCTGAAGAATTCAGCTGGATTATCCTCGGCGAATCAGGCTGAGTTTGCCCATTATATAGTTCAAAGAAAATCAACAAAAAATGACATTAAACGCTTGTTAGCTATGCTGATCAAATTTATAATCGTCCCATTATTCCACTTGATTAAGCACTCTTCTACAATGGTACTGGGTTGTGGTCAGTGCAGTGATTGCATGGTCGGGACTTGATTCCAGGCGGTGACACGTGGTGATGGCTGAAGCCACCGCATTAGACACTAAGCCCAATCAGGGATGACTACTCACGGCCCGAAAATATTCCGCAGTAGTCTGGTCTAGCATGCTCTGTAATTGGCTCATTGTCTTAACTCGATTGCGCTTGATTCGGCAGAGATTGACGCCTTTCAGAGAACGCTATATGGCTACGCTGATAGGTTCTTTGTACATCTTATGATTCACTGGAGAAGTAATCACAGTAGGAGGAAAGTGTTTTTTATCTGATTTTGGCGAGCTACTGTAAATTAGGCCTAGCGAATGTCAGGGACCCCGCGCGGACCACCTCATGTCAGCCAATCAGCCTCCCTTGCAGATGCTAAACCCCCACAGTACTAGCCTTCCGGCTGCACTCGCAACCCTCAACTGAACACATTGATTGTTGGTGGGAGCTCTGAAAAAAAACATATGTCCTGGATAGCCTATGCGTAACGTGTGAGTAACTCTTGCCTCATCTCTCCAGCTTTGGGGTGCCATTGAACCCATCTTACTGTTTCACCAAAGAGCATTTCCACTTGAACCTGCATTAGTTATCACGTCAGGAATAGTTTTCCACGAGTATACATTGTCGATTCGCACACCGCACTTTCTACTCTACAATGCTTTCACTGACCATTGAACCACAGCAACTCATTTGTTTCCTCTTGTGAAACATTGTCCGATCGCTTCAAGTTGACTGGGGGCCGTGCAAAACCCCAAGGTGCTGGACATTGTGCTATAGAAAACGCTGGGTGTTCGATAAGGTCAGTGTTTGATGCATTCTTACTGCTCTTACCCTTATATGCATTGAACGCTCGTTCCCTATACACCCCGAGTACTCAATTGATATAAGTACGCACTGCGTTCTGCCATTGAGCAATATTCTCAACATAAGATGGTCGCCGTGCGCAGTATTTGCCTTCATGCATGGCTGGGCTTCGTCTCGCGTCAGCCCTTATACCACCGAAGGAAGAGATGGGATCAGCCTGCCTCGCCATATTGATATGATTTTTTGCGTTTCTGTTGAGATGAATTTGGAAATGTCTTCCCGGAAAGATACTTGAAGCTAACCTTTGACCTTTAGTTTCGCTATCACCTGCTCCCAATCGCTCGAGCCGTCAGCATAAACCTCCTTCAGAAAGTCCTGTCGCAAGATCAACATATCATTCCCGTGCCTCTCGACTATTGCCTCGTATACCTCATTCAGAGTGGAAATGTTTATGAGTAAACAAGGTTATGTCCACGGCGTCAATGAAGCACAATGTAAACTGTGCTGCTGTGGAAGGTTCGCGTCTACTCTTGAGAGAGGGAACCACTTGCGGCGACAAGGAACTTGCGGACCTTCAACCGAGCTTAATACTACCTCCTTACGAAGTCGTTGTGCCTATGCAAGATCTGGCCAAGAAGAAACATACGTATGTGTGGGAATGTGTGAGTTTCAATACGCTCTAGCCCGCTATTTCGCGATTTAACAAGTTTACAGTGTTATTGTGGCTATCCCTCTATCCCATACAGAAGTAATAGCTGTCCATCATGTGGATATGCTCGTTGTGGCAACTGTCGTGTAACAAAAGTACAAATCAAGTCCCACGACTGACTCGGGCTACTTGCGTCCTGGGCCACGTTGGAGTTTTGGGCGGTGTAATCATACCTATCCTCAGCCAAGATAATGTTTTCTCCAAGCCAATCCCTCTAAGAAACCACTATTCCCTACATGTTTCATTAGAGTAAATCCTTTTGATTGCTCAAAGTGCCTCGTTGATATCTGTGAGCCTGGGCCTTACACGGCGTCTGATTGATCGGATGGCCGTTGTACGCACGGACCTCCGTCCTGATTTTACTACCGCATCATCTCAGGAGGGCGAGTTTGCGCTAGCCAGCGACACAGGTGGGGCCGAGCCGCATGAGGCACGATCAGCCCTCATGCGGCTCCGTCCCACCAGTGACCCTAACTAGCGCAAACTCGCCCTCCTGAGATGATGCGATACACCACGTACTTCACGGAGATAGAGAGACATGAATCGCAATCTATCAATCACTCAACTCAACTGCAGTTTGGTTATTGACCATGATCACGTTCGTTTAATATGTATCCTTAGTACCAACACTCGTATATCTGAATCTTCGCTCATTAATACGCCAGTTTAAACTGCAGGAATGATTGAGCTACAATTATGAACATTTTTGAGGTTACTCACATCTCCATGATCACATGTGAAATTTCGTAGACTAACATGAATGCCAGAATTACCGAGACAATTCCAGACGGATCAGGAATCGAAGCCATTCATATGAAAATGTCATGCTTCCTAATGGCTAGATCGAAGCTCAAGTTTGATTTGCAAAGCAAAGCAAGTAATCACATGCATATGTACCAATTGTATGACTGACGTGGGAAGAACGTGATTTTATATGTTGCGGCTATTCGAGAAAATATGGATGATGAGTTAGAACGTGGGAAAGTCACTTGTGTCATCAAACTCCTGTGAGGCTAGA